AAGGATAGTAATAGTTGATGCCGATGGAAGGCTCACTGCACAGGGGACCTAATTTTTTCACCAGTAGGATGATAATGGTGGCATTATCATAGGCTCTTACAGAGGTTGCATAACATCATGCTTATCAAAGTGTCTGGCACAGAATAAGAGCCCCATTCATGTGCTCTGTGGGTGTCATTTCATAACTCTTGTCCATGGGAGGGGGGATGTGATGGTGGAGGGTGCTGTACAGCAAGATGGTTCTGTCTGGGAGAGGATGCCGAAGAGGGTTCATGGAGCAGGTACCACAAGAGCTGACCTTGGAAGCTGGGAGCAGAGGGAAATGGGTGTGGAGAGGGCATTCCTGGCAGATGGCATGGCCTGAGCAAAGGCACGGAGGCCGGATGTGCAGGGCACATCCAGGGAATGGTGAGGGGTCAGTGGAAGTGAGGATGTAGGTGCAGGGCTGGGATGTGGTGAGAGGTGAGCCTCCAAGGCCGGGAGGCTGTGAATGCCAGGCCGAGGTGTTCAGACAGGTTCCTGGAGGCTGTCGGGAGTCAGGGAAGGCATCAGAACACTTGGGGAGATTCAGCCACCAGCATGCTCAGACCAGAAGGAGGCTCTTTTATGCACTGGGCATTGAAGGAGATCCCAAGCTTTTAGTTTGTACAAGTAAGACCGTGATGATCGTCCTCAGGTGCACATCTCATAATCATCCAATTATTTCCTCCGAATAAATTCTTCAAGGTGGAATCCCTGAATCATGTAATTGGCATACTTTATATCTGGGTTTGCCCTCAGATGGAACAGTCAGTTGTTCGCCATTGAGGCGGCACCTGTTGCCTCATTAAGAGCAGCTAGTGTTTGTGGAGCTCCCTCTGTGAATCCCCTGCTCTGGCTGAACGGCTTGTGAGCCATTTCTCCTGTAACCATCCCAGCAGGTTCAGGAGGTCAGTACAGAGAGTTGGACATGAGGAAACCAGGGCCCAGAGAGACCAGGCAACTCATCCATGGTCACGCAGCCTGTGAGTTGGCTCTCTCCCTAACTGTGTAGAGAGCTGCGGGCTGAAGGCAATAGTTGGGGAATCAGTACTGGGCTAGGGGAAAGTTGAGGTGAGGTGCTAGGAAGGTCAAGGGCTATGGGGTGTTTTGGGTGAGATTGGGCCAGGGACTCCGACTCCAGGCAACAAGGCCCTAACGATGACGTGGGTGCTAGGAGGAAATAAGCCACATCACAGGAAGCACTTAGCACAGGACCTGGCAGGTACTAGGAGCAATTCATTGATACTGCTCTCACTAACCCTGGGGGCAGTTTGAACCAGCCAACACAGGCACATTGGGAGGTGCTGCCTCCTTGTGGTGATGCTTAGAATTGTGTGAAAGTGGGGGATCTAACTCTCAAGCTTGCTGTAAGACAAAGACCTGGGGGTAGGAAAAGGCACATCCCTCCAATCCCAACAGGGGTCTGCTGCATCTTCCCAGGCCCTGCAGGGAGTGTTGGATTGGAGGGACCCCAGAGGAGGCTTCCAAGCCAGCCCTAGGGATCAGAGGCTAACTTGAGGGCGTGAACTGAGGAAGGAGTGGGCTGTAATCGGGAGGGTGGTGCACCTGCAGGAAGGGGTGGGAGAAGGCTGGAAGGGAGTGTCCCAGTTGGAGGGAACAGTGTATAAGAAAGCCCAGTCAAGAGAATGGCCAGACCCAAGGAACCACAAAGGGAAGAATAGCTGAAATAAAAATTGGGGGTGGGGGGCAAGGGCGGGGTTGTCCAGGTTATAAAGGACTCTGAAAGCCACCATGAGGAGTCTGGACTCGGTTCTGAACATTTTAAGAAGCAGTTGGTAAGATAAAGAAGCTTGGAGTGGGGCAAGCCAGAGGCTGCTGCGCTCATCCAGACCTGGAGGGGACAGATAGGAGATGTGGTGACAGAGAAGTGGGGACAGGAGCTACTGGAGTGAGAGGGAGTAGCCAGGGAAGAGAGACGAGGGTCTGAACCCAAATATCAGGCACTGGGGTAGCAGCCACAGGTGGGAGGAAACCTGGAGCAAGGGATCCAGACAAGCAGGGACTGCAGCCCCGGCCGCTTTCCCTTCTCCCTCCCCGGCTGACTGGGAGAAAGGAGAGCAGACCAGGGCTGAGGATGATCTGTGGCCCTATGGGCCGTGAGGCCTCAGCCATGCCACCTGCCCTCTCTGATCCTTAGAATACGGGGTCTGGAAAGGGAGATGGTGCTACTGACAACCTCCTTGGTGAACAGGAGAGCGGTGCTGGTGAATGTTTGGCCACTGGCGCCCCGGGGCAGGGGACCCTGATGTGTTGGTCTCCGTGGTGTAGATACTGCCACCACGGCCTGTTTCAAGCTCCCCAAGTGAAGTCGGACCACAGAGTTGAGACACAATGCGCAGCAGCACACTAGTAATGGCATTTCCACCAAACGCACAGGAGAGGCAAACAACCGCAAAAACACAGACGATTGTCAAGACTAGTAAAATAATTAGGAAGGAGTAAGTTTTGAGCTCTTACTACTTGTCTTTTGTTTGCTTGTTTGTTTTTTATTGACAGATAATTGACATATAACATTATACAGGGCCCAGCACAAATAATGCCCCCTTTTTATTACAGAACCTTGTATTACAAAATCACGAGCATGTAATTCTGTAACATAACAATAGCATACTCAAGCACACCACCACATGACATTTTAGGTGAAATGTTCAAGTTGAAACTATGAATTACTACACCCATATTATTACCCCGCCAACCACACTCAGGTGGGCGTTACTTCTGCCGGGCCCTGCATGGTTGCAGCTGTATAACGCGATTCGATATTTGTATACACTTTGAAATGATCACTACAGCAAGTCGAATTAACATCCATCACTACATATGATTACGATTTTTTTCCCTGTGATGAGGACCTTTTACCACCTTTGTTTCTAATATATTTAAATCCGAATTCATATTGTTTCATTTTAATAATGGCTGTGTGTAACCACTGGCTCACCAAACTCCTGACCGAGTTAACAACGGGCTCTAGAGGCTGGAGCTCCGCTCTCATTGGCCCACAGCAAGGGGATGTGGAAAGGGAACCCAGCTGGATCTGGGTCTCCGACATCCTGCAGAGGCCCAACCTCTGCCCGAGGGGGCTTCTGGGTCTCTGAGCAAACATTAAGGAACAGAGCAGTGCCCGAGCCCAGCACCCCTCCACAGGCCACAGGCTTGTCCGCCTGCTGCCCAGAAACCTCCCCTAATGTGCCCCCCCTAATCAACCACTGCATCTCCCCAATGGAGCAGGGAGTGGGGTAAGGCGTGTGTGTTTGAAGGCAGGTGGAGGGAGGCAGGTGAGGGAAGTCTCTCCCTGCCACAGACTAGCTGACCAAAGACCTTGTTCCCACTAGCCTGGCCTGAGAAGGCCTGCAAGCTCCTGTGTGTGCTGGGCCCCAGTAGTTCTTCACAGGGCAGAGCCACCAGTGGGGTGGCCGAGGCCAGAGGGGCCCGTAGCAGGGCAGAGCTGAGGGGCAACAGAGGAGGGGCCATAGGGGCTGCTTCTGAAGGAAACTCAGGGTTGGCCAAGAGGAAAGAATTTCCAGCTGAGGAATGGGGCAGGGGGGTGCTCTGAGGGCAGGTGATGGGGAGGTACACGAGGCTGAGAGCTTAGACTGTGCCCAAGAGCACAGAAGCCTGGCTGGCCTGGGCAGCATCCAGCTTTAGGGGACACCCTGAGGGTGGAAGAGAGAAGTGAACAAGGAATGCTGGCAGGACCCAGATGTCACAGGGGTGCAGGTGTGGATGTGGCCCTGGGGGGAGATGGTGCTGAATTGGAGAGGGGTGTGGGAGGAGGCAGAGACAAGGCTGAGGAGTGAGGGGGGCTCAGAGCATTTAAGACCCAGGGAAGCCGCTGGAAACTGGGCAGAGGAGGTCATGGGGAGCTTGGGAAGGGGATCCTGCCAGTGCGGGAAGAGAAGGGCAGCAGAGAAAGGCCCACCCCATCCCTTCAGGGACCCTAGCTCTGGGGAAGGCCACCAGACTCACCCTGCAGAGGCAGACACCCCAACAGGAGGAGCCAAAACCCCTGAGTCCCCATCCTATCTCACCACCAGTATCCCTTGGCCTGCAGCCCCTGTAAGTCCCTGCCTAGGTGTGGGTGGTTTCTTGCAGAGTGGGGTTAGCCCACTGAGCTGTACCTAGGCTGTGAAGGGGAGGGCCAGGACCTTGGCCAGAACTGATCTTTGCCTGGGTCAAACTTTCAAGGGGGTGTGGGGAAGCAGGTAAGTGGGGTGGGGTGGGCTCTGGGTCACTCCCTTTTCTCCAGGACTCTTGGGTCCCTTTGTGGGAGTCCCATGTGATACTCCCTTGGGGGCAGTCTTCATCTCAAGCACCTTCAGGCTCAGGTGGTATATGCCCAACAGGCTCCCCTCCCAAAGGCGCGGGTGCTTAAGGAGGCTCGCGGGAAGAGGGCAATGCCTTCCCTGAAAGAGGCTGCAGGGGAGCCCTGGTGGGCGGGGAGGGACCAGAAGGCCCAGTGTTGGCCACTGTGAGCGACACCTGGCCTGAGGAGTCAGCCTCCACTCCTGAGGGCCCTCAGCCCTGCTCTCCACCACCACATCCCTGCTCATCCCCAACAAAAAAGAAGAAAACTCAACTTCTTGAGGATTTATTGGACCGGGGCTGTCCTGCCTTTCGGACCCCAGCAGCCCCTGCTCTAGAGATGGGCTGGCCAGAGGATTAGTCCTCAGGGTCCCCACTGCTGCACACCAGCGTTCCCCCAGTGCCTGCGGCTCCTCTGTCCAGCCACACTGCCATGGGGTGACTTAGCTGAGCTTCCGGGGGGCCTGAGTCCCCAGTGTGCCAAGTGATCTTGGTCATATTCCTTATCCTCCATGGGAGGATGTTACTTTCCTGGCAAAAGACAGGGTTGAGCCCACCCAGGGTCCTTTCCTTCTCCTTTCCTTCTCAGTATCATGAGTTTCATGGAGGCAGCCAGGGGTCGGGTCCTGCCCCTGTCTGAGTCGCTGCGGCTGCTGCTCCTTGAGGCCTTTGTCTCTGTTTTCATCCAGCTCAAACCCACTCAGGTGCCAGGGCCTCGGACCCCAGGGAGCCAAGCATCGCATCCCCTGGCAGGAGGAGGAGGGTGGAACAAAGCAGGGAGTGGGCGAACCCCCAGGCCAGGTCAGGAGGAGCTGGGCTTCTCCACTGAGGGGTAGAGCTTGCGCAGGCTGGAGTCCAGGAGGAAGTCCACTGACCTGTGGGACAATGAAGGGTGATGAGCAGGTGACCAAGGGGTGCTAATGGGGGAATGGGACGCAGGAGGTCAGGGTTGGGGAAGGGACTCTCCAGATACAGGGCACAAGTGCCATACAACTATCACCTCCTTCTTTATTCAGTTGGGATAAGTGAGGCACAGAGAGGGTAAAAGACTCGCTCAGGGCCTCAGGGTCAGCTCTGTTCCCTTGGAGAAAGACTCCTCCTCCCACTCCATATTGGTCTGGCCCCGTCTATGGTTTTAAGAGCAGGCACATGACCCAAGCCTAGCCAATCGGAAAAGTGAAACTGGCTCAAGGGTGAGCACCCAGTCTACAATGGACCAATGACAGCCCTCCTTGGGATTTTTGCTGTTACTACTAAGATTACTATGGGGCTTTCTAAGCTGGTGGGGTGGGAGCTGCTAAGGGCCATCTCAGCTTCTATGTGGGGAAAGTGAATAAAGCCAACATGGGGTGGAGCAGAGAAAAGGGTAGTAGGATGAGGAGACCCAGACCCCTAATGACATCATTTGGGTGCCTAGATTCAGCCATATCTGAAAGCAGCATAATAACTTCTCAGTTTCACAAAACAATTCTGTCACTAAAACCCTCCAGGGTGCACCTGCTCTGGCCTGCTTGGGTTGTTTTTATAATTCTAAGTTGTTGTTTTTTCTAGGAATTTACTTGTCCTGTATCCTATACCCTCCAGGTAACCCCTGCCTTTACTGCCAAAGTACCTGCCAGGTCATATGCCTCTGGGGCCGAGTGCCAGCCCTCCCTCTGCTGCCATTGTTCTGTGCACAGTGAGTACCACCCCCACCTCTCAGGGCTCATCTCCACCCACGTAGTGAATGCTCCCTGAGGCTGGAAGCAGCACCCACCTGTCAATAGGGTGGATGATGACGGGGATGACCAGCAGTCCCAGTGCAGTGGTCGTCCACTTGCGCACAGCCAGAGGCCAACGGGTGGCAGTGCCCAGGACATAGAGAGAGGCTGCACACACCCGGTTGATAGTGAAACCTGGGATGGCCACAGAGGCCAGAGCCTGCCACACGAAAGTATCCACCACAGCCACGGTCACCCTGGTGCTGCGGCTTGCTTCAGGGCTTGGTACCTGCGGAGCACAAGAGAAACTTAACCCAGCAGGGGCAGAGTCGGGAAACCCTGTGGACAAGCGGCATGAGGCTGAACCAGGAAGGGGGAAGTGTAGGAGGGGTAGGGACAGACCACACTAGTATTTCCTTCTGGACTGTACCATATTTAGAGCTGGGGATAGACTTGTCCACATCCAGGACTAGGTTATAAACTATGTCACACACAGGGCAGGGGATGGGGTGGGGTTCCCAATCCTAGAAACAGGACTGGGGGAGGGATTGCACCAGCTGAGGTTTTGGGAACTGGACTGTTCACATGCTTCAACCACAGTGATTTTATCACAGTGATTTTATCACATGCAAGGCTGTGGACTAAACCATGAGGGGAATGGACTGGGGTGAGGTATTGAGGGGCAGATTAACACTCACGTCTCCTGCTTTCTTGCCCTTGTCAATGGCATCAGCCAGCACATAGGAGCTGGACACACCATAGCTCAGCCACACCACAGCTGCTGGCACCATGGAGCGGAAGGCCTCCCCAACCTCATTGGCGTAGCCTGGTCAGGGAAGAGGACATTTAATCCTGGGGCCCATGGACTGTTCCACAATGAGGCACTCCAGTGAGCTGCTTCTAATCCCAGCCTGCTAAACAGAAGCTAGATGACCTTAGACAAGTGATTTTATCTCCTGAGTCTGTTTCCCAGCCTATAAAACAGCACCCATGGTGCCCACTTCAACTTTAGGACCATCACGGGAAAGCTGAGAACAGTCACTATTATCACTCACTCACTCCCATTCCCAATCTGGATTCTAGAAGGATCTGCGCTAATGGGGGTACAGGCAGTGGCAGTGACTGACCCAGGCCAGCTCCAATGACCAGGCACTTGCCGTGTGCCAGGCCTTTCTCTGCCTTATCTCATTCTACCCTTGCAACTACCACCTGAAGAGAGGCCCTGTGTTCATTCCTTTTTGCCAACAAGGAAACTGAGGCTCCGACAGCCAGTGAAAAGCTGGGATAGACCAGACACTCTGACTCCACAGCCACTGCCCAGGCATGCCAGAGAAGGCAACCTCCAAGCAGGGTCCGAGCTTCCACCAGGGAGACGGGACCAGCCGAGACTCCAAGGACACGGTTGGCTGACCAGAGCTGGGTGACCTTTGGCAAATCCCTAGCCCTCTATGAGCTCAAATTCTAGTCTGAACAGAATAAAAACTAAGATCCTCCCACCTTCTCCGGAACCCGAACGGGCGACCGGCGACCCCTACTTCTCCAGCTACGTGGTGGAGCGGTCGCCATGCCCCTCGCCCCACTCTCACCCAGGTATCGCACCCACGTGTCCCGGAAAAGGTCGCGCTCCGCTCCCTGCGGGGGTGACTCAGTCATGGCGCTGCTGCCGCAGCCCGGCCACTGCAGCCCGTCTAACGGCTGCTGTAGCCTCAGCCTCCACCTGGCGCTCCCGTCCAAAGCCGCGGGACCGATCGAAGGTCCCAGACTGAAGGTCAGGTAGTGCTGTCCCCCACCAGCAGGGAGCGTCTGTAAATTCCCCCGCGCACAGAAGCCCCTCTCACAGGCTTGAGTTTTACAGATTAATTTCCTTCACGTTTTTTCGGCGGTTGAGAGGTTGGCACGATCCTCTTCACAGGACTGACTGTAGTTTGACAGCCTAAGAGGCTGGCGTTCAAACGGCGTATGCTACACTTCACAGCTACACTTCATAGTTGTGTGACCTCAGGTTTCTGTACTTCTCCGAGCCTCACTTTATTCATTTCTTAAATGGGGAGCACGACACTGTTTCTCTTGGCATGATGATTATTACATGTCATCATTTATTGTGTTTATTAACGGCCAGACCTTTGGCCAAAGAACAGCTACAGACTTTACCCGCTAAAGATACTAGACAGGTTACTTCCTTCAACTCCCCCATCAGCCTGTGACCCTCCACTTTACAGACGAGGAAATCGAGGTACAGAAAAGATGGGTCACGTTCCCAGGTCACACAGCTGCTAAGTGGTGAAGCTGGGGCTGGCTTCAGCTCCTCTGCTCTTAAAACGAGCTCAGTAAATGAGCCTGAGGGAGTGAATGGCGAGCACCCTGGCGAGGTGGATGTCCCTTCCCGATAGATGCCATGTTAGATGAACAAGCGCTGGGTATAAACTGTATCGTATGCCTCTAAGAATCTCTTGGGGACAGGACCTTGAATGAATGAATCAATCAATCAATGAATCAATGAATGAATGAGAGGCCGGAGAAACAAGGGGTATCAGCGAGCAAAGACACAGCCACTAAAGAAGGCAGTCCTGGGTTCCAGCTGTGGCGCCTATCAGCAGTTAGCCACCTCTGAAAAAGTGAAGAGCCAACACTTACCGAGTGCTCGCTTGTACCAGGCTCTTTCGCATGTATTATTTCCTTGAATATTTGCAATAACCCAAGGCGGTAAACATAGAGCTGTATGCTACCCAGTAGGCTTTCACTAAAGAATTAACTTTTATTATCATTAAATAAAATTGGAAAATGTGAAGACCACTGACTCCCTACTGAGGTTCCCATTTTCAGCCCTGGGTGTCGCTGTCTCTGTAGGGTCGTGTACGGGTAGTCCGTAGCCCGGTTAGAGGTTACTACGCTTCTCCGGAAGCTGGGCTCCAGGCTCAAAGAGATCCTCAGCCCCTGAAACACTGGCAATGCTGGCGCGGAATTAGGAGACGATCCCTAATACCACGTGATTGTTGCTTCCCAGCCTCCCTCCCACAGAAGGCCCACCGCTAGCACTGGGCGCTACCGTTAGACCCGCCGTTAGACCCGCAAGTGTCACGCGCAAAAACCGTCCTGCGCTCTGAGAAGCCCGAGTGGGGCGGGGCCTCTGCCCTGACTGTGAAGGAAGCCAGGAGTATTCTTAGTGCCCGTAACAAAGAGGGCGAAGACAGTCCACCAGCCAGGCCAATCAGAAGGCAAGTTGGCCATCGGGCCCCATGGGAAAGCAAACGCCCGATAAGTAGCGTGAGGTTTTTGCGCATGTGCCCCGCCAGTGGCAGGTACCCTTTGCTAGGCTTCTGAAGCAGAAATTTAAGGTTCTGGGTGCTGAGTAGTGAGTTGCGATGCAGGAGGCATTGACTTGCACTCTGCGCACTGCACGTTGCTTTATTCATTGGTTAATTTTCCTAACAGAGCATTGTAAACCAAGGTCGGGATGTCCTCCTGAGGGTTCTGACTGGGGCCCATTCAGCCTCGGGCCCCTTCCTCTTGCTCCCTCAGCTTTTCCAGACCAGCTCCCCAGGCTGGGCCGCTTTTCCGCGCTCTGAGCTCCTGTGCAGCCCAGACACTGGTTTGCGTTTGCAGGAAGTGGGATTGTGATTAGTGCTGTGGCTACCGGCAGGGTCCGTGCCCTCCAGCTCCTGGTCCCCGAGCGGCCCCGTGGTTATCCCTGATTATCACCGTGGGGGGGGGGGCGGGGGGGGACCTGGAGACCTTCGAGGCCCGGTGGGGCCTGACCTTGGCTCTGCCAGCTGCTGGCCCCACCGGGCACTAGGAACCCATAGCACCCACCATACTGCCAAGACTTTGCTCAGGTCAGTCAGGAAGCGGGTTGGCGGGCACCATGGAAGACTCAGCGGGCAAATGCCCTGAGTTCTGTCTGGATCCCATTTATCATTTTGGTGTGGCTAATCAAATGAAGAGTTACTTGATGAGAAGCTGGCGACACTGAACGGGGGAGTGGAAGTCTCAGGACTCACATCTACCCCAGCCTCTCTTCCCATCCCTTTCCCAGAGCCGAGATCCCTGGAGGTAATTTCCCTGTGCTTTGTTCTCATTGGAGGACAGTGGCTGGGTACCAGACCAAAGCTCACTGTCCGAGGAAGCTCTGAATCAATGACAATTATTAGTAATCAAAGTGGCAGCCAGTGGTACCCAGGAGTTGCTGAAGTTCTCAAGGTGAGGGAAAGACCTGCCTGGCTACCCCTGAGTGGGAAGATCAGTGCTGACCCTGGACCATCTCCTGAGACCTGGGAAAAGCCAAAGGATCCCAGCCTGAGTGATAGAAAGTTTAGAAGAGCCTCTGACCTCCACCATAACTAGCAACTGGGTACCTTGCTACTCCTCATGATCTAAGGTTATATGTTCATTTGGTTGCACATTCCTCCCCTGCCACAGGCTTCCCTGAAATGTTAAGTCTCAATCTCTCCCCTTCTCTAATGTTTTCCCTGCTGCCACCCTGTGGTACCATCTTCCTGTCTCAGCTGTCACAGGTAGGTGACATTGGCACAGCTTGCAGGACAAATAGATCCTATCACAGTCCCCAGCTCCTAGGGACTCTAACTTGAAAGGCAAGGAGACTCACTGCTGCTATGCTCCCTCTTCCTAGTTCTGAAATCATAGTTCTCAGGCTCAGCTGAGTCTTTCTTCTAGCCCAGTTTCTTTTGGCATCAGGGTGCTGGGAAAATGACTGCTATAAGGGGTAGAAACTGACAGGGAGACACTGAGGGAGCCAGGCCTTCTGTGGGAGGAGGCGTTACTTTGGGGTGACTTCCCCCAGTTGTTTTATCTTCTCTTCTGAAGCTTTGTCTGGAAGCAGGACCTCCACAGTGAAATTGACCTTCTTGGCATGAATGAAGCTGTAGGTGTTGTCAAACCGCAGGACATCTGAGGGGAGGCATAAAACCAGACATTTAGGCAATTCTGACAAAGGGTTTGGGGACAGGGCTTTTCATTGACTGAGCAAGGCAATGCGGTAGGTTAATGAGGATGCAGGTAGCATAAGCAATGGTCCTTTACCTTCTGCAAAAAAAGTCTAGCTGGACTGACAAGATGATCATGGAGACAGAAAAATATATATAAGACCATGCCAAGTGCCAGATGAGTGAGACAACCACATCTGTAACACTTGGAAAGAGAAAGCCCTATAAACTGCAATTCTGTGAAGGGCTTTTTAGAGGAGTTATAGAGCTTGAACTGGGCTTTGAAAGTGGGGGCGGAGGAGGAGCAGAACTTGTAGAGGCAGTAGTTGTTACAATAATAATAGTAATGGTAACATTGGCAATTTATGTGTCTCAGCACTAGGTTGGTAATCTATATGTTATTTCACTCTTCCTCAAAATAACTATGAGTTCAGCATTAGTCCTGGTTTATGTTCTGTAAAAAAGGAGGTCACCACGTTGCAGAGTGAGGAAGTGACAAAGCCGGAATTTCCCCGAGCTGGAGCCCCACCCTGTGTAAACTTTTTGAACCAGGAATTTACCTCACAGGAATATAAACAGACAACGATGCTCATTGCACCTCTGTTTGTAAGACCTAAAAGCTTGGGAAAGCTCAAATGTTCAAAGAATTGCTTAAAAAGTTCATATTGCAATCCATATGATGAAATAACTGTTCTGATATTAAAAGAAAGAGGTTAGCTTCACAAGTGACTGGGGAAATTATCCGCAATGTATCCTTAGGCCAAAAGAGCAAACTGCAGAACATCTTATAAATAGTTTGTAACATTTTTGTTACTATAGATGTAAAAAAAACTTTTTTTGGCTCTGCCACTTTGTCTACCTACACTCCCAAGTTTTCTATTCAGGTTCTTGTTCTAAAAGGAAAGTTTTCGGTATGACCACATGCCCTGAACACACCCAGTCTTGCCTGAAAGGAGAGTTTTCTCAAATCCTGCGACAGGTTTTACAATTTCAAAATTCCTTCAAACATGCATTGAATAACAGATGTTCCGGTAATTCCTATGACTGTATACATGTGTGCACATGTCCTGTGTATTATGGCAATATGTAACTCGTCTACCCCACAGGGATGTCCAACCTTTTGGTGTCTCTGGGCCACACTGGAAGAAGAAGAGTTGTCTTGGGCCACACATTAAATACACAAACTTATGAAAACTGATGAGCAAAAAAATGTTTTAAGTAAATTTATGATTTTGTGTTGGGCCGCATGCTGCCTTTGGGCCTCGGGTTGGACACCCCTGGTCTAAAGGGATGGGAAGTATTTGATAAGCTAATAGATAAGATCTGTTAGGAGTGGCTTCCTCTAGGGAGAAAAAATGGGCACATGGTTGGCAGAAAGGGCTTTTCCAGCCTTGGCTAAGGGACAGATTGCCTTTAATCTAACCCTCCTTTGATTGATCAATTGATTGATTGATTTGACAGGTTGTTGCATTTCAGTCAAATACTCCTTCAAGAGAACAGAGTGTGAAAACAAAAGCTAGCTCTGCCCCTTCCCTATCCTGGTCTTTTCTCACTTTTCCCAGAAAAAAAACAAAACTGTATCTTTAATTCTGAGACTTAACCTTTCCCCTTTCCTGCCCCCAGATAAAATGCATAGTTTAGCCTGAGGGTAGTCACACCACCCACCATTTCTTCCTGGTGTGAAATAAGTATCAGTCATTGACTTTCTCTCTGTGCCAGAGGTGTTTCAAGACCCATAGTCCCTCTGGCAAGAGAGGCGCTTCCTCTCTGCCATGGATGAGAGCTTTAGCAACCAGAGTCAGCTGTGCAGGAGAAGGCTTTGAGCTCCTTGG